GCAAGAGTCATAATAGACTTCTTTCAACATAATGATGTCACATTGTTACCATGGCCACCAAGATCTCCCGACTTATCCCCAATTGAGCACGTGTGGGATATGATGGGTAGGAGATTGCTCAATTTGCAACGTCCTCCTGAGACTCTAGAAGCACTTCGAGAGGAGTTGGTGGTTGCCTGGAATGAGATACCACAGGAGGACATTGACCACCTGATCAGAAGCATGCCTAGGCGCGTTGGGGAATGCGTAGCATATCACGGTGCATCCACACATTATTAAAGATCAAAGGGCTTCCTTAACTCCTTTGACATCATCTTACGAACCATTGCAAGAAAATTCATCTTCAAATTCTGAGATAGATTTACAAGAACATCACAACTCAGGGCACACCGGGTTATCGTTTCACGATCGCATTAATATCTATTTTTTAAGTTTGAAAAAAAGAACTTTCATTATTTTGGGACACCTTACTGTCCATGGTTATTTTTCTGCTGTCTCATTTCGATTAGGTTAATCTATTACGAAAAATATACCCACCTGTGGAATTTGAATATGTTTTTGTGGCATTTAACAGCAAAACTCGATTAAACTAAGCGATGCACCCACAAAGGTCAACGGTGAGCACATACACAGAAAAAAATAATTAGATGTGAAAATGCCGAGAAACGAGAAACATTTTCGCAATACGTGAGAAAGATTTCAAAAATGCGTTTAATTGTTGATTCGCTTGCGCTTTGAAATCAACTCTAAACGAGGCTTAACCTTATCGAATGTGCAAGTGTAATAATAATTTACAGGGTGAAATTAGTATTATGGTAAATTACACATATCGACAAAAGTAAGCCGACTATTTTCCCAAGGTTTCTGAATGATTTTCAAATAATCAATTATTTTTTGCATAGGTCTCCTCATCTCGCATCTAATAATATAATCATCGTCACGACATGCGCGATAAGATTTAAAATAAAGATGATAAGGTCTTAAAGCAACAAATACTAAGTAACATTAACATGATTGGTAAAAAAAATTATAAAAAAATAATTTCCAAAAGAAACTCTTTCCGATAATCCTTGTGTGGTCCAGGGATATACAATTAAGTGTAAAGTTGTAATTTTGTTTGTTTAATCCAAAGAACATAAGAAAAATTGTACAAAAGTCAGTGTCGTACATTTTTTTTAGCAAAAAAACGCCACTTAATCACTAGGGCTAAATTAGGTCCTTAACGATATAAATACCACCGCGAAATTACAATAAAATTAGGATATTCAAGATATTTACGAAAAAGCATTTCTTTTATTGAATAAATCTTGAGAACCAAGAACTTTCGGACCTATGTTTATACAGGGTGCTTCAGTTTATTGTTGCATAACTTTAAGATTCGATAGAACTTTTAAAATTGATGCATAAAGTCTATATAAACATGGGTTGAAAAATGCGTGGCTTCCGAAATACAGGGTGTTTAAATTTACTTTTTAAAATAGTTTTTTTTGAATATTTCGAACAATATTTGATGTATAACAGTGAAAATTGGTATGCAACGGTTTTTTGGTACGACAGAACGAACAATGGGCATAGTTTTACTGTAGCCGCTAGAGGGCGCTCTCTACTGTACCTGTAGTGTATTAAAATGACCGAAAATTTTTTCTTAGTGCAACTCTTTGCTTTTTGAATAAAGAAACTGATTCTTCGTACTTTTCTGCATAAAAAAGCTCTCTTGTGAGTTTTCGTTGTAGTTAGCCGTTTTTGAGATATTTCGATTCTTAAGGATCCATGCATTTTTAATTATTTATGGGAAAATAATATTTTTTATTACATTTTCGATTTGGGCATTACAAGTAATTAAGATGATCGGTTAGAATTAGCAATAATTCCTAACTCCAAATAAACACAAAAAACAGAATATTAATTTGTTTAATTTTCCTATATTATTTTTAACAAATTAAATTAATTATTTACAACTAAAATGCTAGTGGATAGTTAGGACAAGTATACAAAATCTAAAGTAGTTGCTCGAAATGTAAACCCAATTGTTCAATACACAATTCACATCTACTGATGATCGAACGTGGTATAGCATTATTCAAATAAGGCCTTATTTCATCACATGCATTCCTGATTCTGTCTATTAGCATATCTCTTGTGGTTACGGGAGTCTGGTACACTTTTTCTTTTAGAAATCCCCACACAAAGAAATCTAATGGATTTAGGTCAGGGGATCGTGGAGGCCAGGCGACTGGTCCTCCACAGCCGATCCATTTTTCTGGATAATTTTCGTCCAGCCAGTTTCTAACTATTCTCGAATAATGAGCTGGACAACCATCAAGCTGGAACCAGGCCAATCTTCTTAAATCTAACATAACATCATCCCACATATTTGCATGTTCAGCCTTTAAAAATTCCAAGAAGGTCGCAGCATTTAACCTTGCAGGCAAAAGGTCCAATCCACACGTTCACACTAAATTCATGCTGAAAATTTCTTTCCCGAACTGCATGCGGATTTTCGTGCGATCAAATATGTTGATTATGAAAATTTACCACTCCACGTCTAGTGAAGCATGACTCATCGGTCCATAAAACGTTACTTAAAAACTCCCTATTATTATCAGTTCTATCAAGAATCCACTGACAAAATGTGATTCTTCGTTCTCCGTCCCCTGGCTGTAGTCCTTGTACAGGTTGCAAATGGTAAGTACGCCTATGGTCATTTCTAAGAACACGGTAAACATGGCTTGCTGAAATTCCCAAGTCACCAGAAACTCTCCTAACACTTGTGGTCGCATCTCTATCAAACTCACGCAGAATCATACGGGTAAAAATCTGCGCTGACGAACATTTATGTTTTGATCCCTTTGGAGATTTCCAAAACCATTTTCAATTATTTGGCGATGCACTCTTACAAATACTGAGCGAGTTGGATGTCGTCAGTTTGCAAATCTTCGTGCGTATTCTCTGGCTGCTTCTGCTGCGTTTAGATTTACAAAGCCCTACACAAAATGAATATCCGCTAACTCTTGATTGGAGAATATAAATGGCATTTTTATAAAACTTACAAAAAAAAAACAGGTAAAAGAAACTAAATTTCGTGCATTCACAATTGCAAAAAAAACGTTTCAGGTTTCAGCAGACAACAAAACTAACTGTCAATTAATTGACGTTTATGTTGAAAAGTGCGAAGAATCAGTTTTTTTATTGAAAAAGCAAAAAATTGCACTAAGGAAAAATTTTCGGTCATTTTAATACACTATAGGTACAGTAGAGAGCGCCCTCTAGCGGCTACAGTAAAACTATGTCCATGGTTCGTTTTGTCGTACCAAAGAACCCTTGTATACCAATTTTCACTGTTATACATCAAATGTTGTTCGAAATATTTAAATATAACTATTTTAGAAAGTAAATTTAAACACCCTGTATTTCGGAAGCCACGCATTTTTCGACCCATGTTTATATAGACTTTATGCATTAATTTTAAAAGTTCTATCGAATCTTAAAGTTATGCAACAATAAACTGACACACCCTGTATAAACTTTTTGTCTTGACATTACTCGAAAAATCGTCTGTTAAATTGGTACATACTCAATTAACAGCTTGTAGATCCATCTTGAGTTTTTAAGAATTTAAATCGATATATCAGGTAATCAAATAAGTTCGTGCGGATGCTGTATATCGCACATTGCCATGGATGTTGTTGATCGATAGCGATTGTTCGTTACCTGTTGTCACTTTTAGTATGAATCCTTTTTTCACACATAAAAAGTTGCTGAAAATTGTTACATACCTAGTGTTAATATTTGGAAACGCCGAAGAATAAAACAGTAATTCGATGTTGTTTACTGTATGAGTACAAACTTGGTACAAAAGCTGCATTCGGAGATGATGCCGTTCGTGATCGAACAGCACAGAAGTGGTTCGAAAAATGTTCTTCGGGAGATCTCAGTTTGAGCAAAAATAATGAACAACGAGCATCTTCGACAGGTTGTGGACGCAAATTCCAGGAAAACTTGCAGAAATGTTCAGAGTGAATCCTGAAACTATTCGTTTGCATCTTAATCAGCTAGTTAAGTTAATGGGTCCCTCATGAACTGATAAATGATAACAAATTAAGTCGTCTACCATTTGTACAGCAAACATTTCACGCAACGCTAATGAACCATTGGATCTTGTCTTCGAATTCTAAGCGTTCGTATCATTGGTTGTCGCCTACTGATTCACCCAAGGCTTCCTTGCACCCAAACAAGGTTTTGTTGTGTGTTTAGTGGACAACAACTGGAATTGTCCATTATGAGTTTTTGGAAAGGGGTCGAACCATCACTGATAACTTGGCAAGAAAGTGATATTCTTGCAGAATAACGCCAAGCCTCATAACGCAAAAGTGACCCGAGAAAAAATTTCTGAACTCGGTGGGGAAACGTTACCGTACCCGCCATATTCTTCCGACAATTTGTCTAGTGATTATCACCGTTTTTTGTCTCTTGACAACTGTATGCTGCACCGACAGTTCACAACTCGAGATGGTGTAATAAATGCGGTCCGCCAATTTTCTGACTCCAAATCCAGGTACAATACCGGCATATAAAAATTGGTTCCACGTTGGCAAAAGGTCATTGAATATGATGGTAGTTACTTCGACGAATATTTGTTTCTCAATAAAAATTTATTTGTTTGTACTAAAAACCGCCTTATATTTCGTTTTCTTAAACCAAATACGGCAAGAAATACTCATTTATTCTATCTAATTAGATATGAGTCAGGTAGTCTATTGTCTCAAAGCTCTGTTTCCATTTAAAGAAGACACCCGGTATCTCTTCTAAGGTTACCAAATCCCCATAGTCGTTAGATCCTCATCAACGGCAAATGCAGAAACACACGGCGCGCTGTACATGCGGCTCATCCTTGAATTGTCCTTTCACCGATGCTAATGTGTTTTATGCTAAAGTCACATTATTACATTATGAAGATATTCAAAGGTACAGCTACCGAAATCACAAACATCTGTTCAACTTCAACAATCCTCCTGTAAAACTTCCAAGCCTTTCAAAAGAAATGTTTCCCCTTGGTCCGCAAACCTGCTTCTATTACCTTGTCGTTCTAAGAAAATTTGTGACTTTTTTTTATTTATCCAATTACCTTATACAGAGTGAGCCAAGCAGTCGTGCTTTTTTCAGCAAAGTTTGGGGCTATGTTAGATTCTCAATTTTTGGCCTTGGAAATTTTTCTAAGCATCTTTTTGATCTTTGAACTATTCGCAAATTTTACGAAAGTTGACTATAACTCAAGTTATCGTATTTTTAAATGTATTTCGGCTCAACGAAGTTGATTTCTCAACAAAACAAAAAAAATGTAATAAAAGTCCTACAGAAATTAAGTTATAAATAAATATCTGTATTTTGCATTCAGGAGATCTTCCTGGCCATTTTCGAGGATCAGGAGCATTTCGACCGATCCAGCGATTTGGATAATGTTCATTCAAATAGCGAATGAAACCTCTAAAAATGTGTGGTGGTGCCCCGTCATGAAGAAACCAAAAATTCTGTCTCCGTTGTAATGGCATGTTGTTTAAGGCTGTTCCAAAAGTTTTGGTAGGTTATTGGCTAGAAAGCTAAGATATCCTTCTCTTGACAAATTTCCACGATATTTAAAGTTTGTTCCTCCTGCTCTACAGTAACCTGTCTTTCACGAGTGCGAATATTACTTTGCTGAACACTTCCTGTATCTCGAAGTCTTTGGTACACTTATAAATTTGAGCTGCAAGATTTGAATTCTGACGAGCTTCACCGTAAACTAACTACATGTCGGCGAACTCTTGATTCGAGAACATTGTAAAAATAAACACGACGACGTACGAGAACAAAAACAAAACAACATACTAACCGCTATTACCGGTTGCGCGCGATTGCCGGTTCGATAAGGGTGATGAAAAACCGACGCGCTGTTGTCATGTGTGTTTTAAATATTTAATTTAATGAAACTTACTTACTGACTACAAATTTTGGCTTAACTTAGAAAAACTTAATGCCGTTTATTTGTTAATTCCCCAATTTAAAAACGTTTTAGATTAGATTATAATAATTAGTAAGGTTGTGGTGATTGTGGTCGATATGAAGCACTTAAAGTTGTAAACTATAAAGCCATTTAGACAACAATCTATTGACTTTGGGACCATGGGTCATATGAACTTTTTGACTTGTTTTGATCGCCTCTATTACCCATTTCTTGACTAAGTTTAACATATTCAAATTCGTTGATCTAAACCGGAGTTCCCCAAACTTTTTTGTGTCGTAGACCCCTTGCCATGTTTTTCCGTGTTGGGTAGACCCCCTACTTAGCTGATATTGATTTCCTGTAAATTTCTAACTGTAGTGAAGTTTAGTGTTAAAAACTTAAAGTAAAAACACATGTTAATTTATACATTTATTAATTGAATTTAAATTAAAACTACTCAAAATAAAATTTTGTATCTGTTATGTAAAATATACGTAACATTAAATAAACAGGTGTCTGACCAATAAGTGCCCGCATTGGGAATAAGTGCCCGCATTGAAAAAAATAAGAGGGATAAAATAAAAAAAAAGTGAAAAATAATAAAAAAAAAAGTTTTTATTACTTAAAATAGTACAATAAGCGAGTTCGTTTATTAATTATAACATACACGTATGTTCTACAATAATTTCACTGTTAGTTTGATTAAATTCCGCTTCTTATACGCTTAAGTTATCTAAAAATAGGCAAATCCTTGAATTTTCAGAATAATTTTAAAAAAAAATATTTTCTATAAAGGGGGGTTCTTTAAAAAAATCAATGCTGCTTATTCCCAATGCGGGCATTTATTGGTCAGACACCAATAAACATAAAATAAACTATAAATAAAATAACATAAGCAATAAGTCAATATTTTTAGTGTTTTAATAATAAATTATCAACATTTGGCGTCAATTTTGTAAGGGTTAATCTTAAATCTCCTCGGCTAATGATGTCCAGTCTGTTTCTTTTTTTCGTTAGGAGATTGGTAACAGCGCTGAACCCCCTTTCCACTAGGTATGACGATGGAAAGGAAATTAAAAATTTCCTCGCTATATTCCATAATACGGGATAAGTAACGGGTATGTTGTTCTGCAGACAGAATTGCTGATATCCGTTTTTAAACTGAACCTTAAGTTCTTCGTTTGTACTTGTTCAGTCAGTTCCTCTTGTATTATGACATTCGTTTCTTCTATGTCACCATATGGATTAATTATCCACGGTGGTATTACCATATCAAAATATCCTCAAACCTAGATTCAAAATCTGAATAGAGGGCATTTAAATGTTGAACGTAAGTTGAAACGTCGTCTTCCTGGCAGCTTGTCTGTGACAAATTGCATGAACGACTAAATGAAGTGATTCATGCAATCCAACACTCAAATTTTTAGCAACTAAATGTTGTCGATGGATGACGCAATGTATTGCTAACACCCCTGACACATTTTGTTTTAAATAGCTTATACATCCACGATAACGTCCAACCATGGCAGGTGCTCCATCTGTAGCTACTGGTACTATATTTGATAAAGGAATTGCTTTTTCAATGAAGTAATCCTTCAAAACATGAAATATTGATTCACCTTTAGTGTCGGTTATCAAAGTTCTTGCGAAGAGCAGTTCTTCGTAGATTTCTTGATTCATAATAAAACGAACATATGCCAATAATAATGCTGCATTATCAGGTAAAGTTGACTCGTCCAGTTGTATAGAGAAATGGGTCGTTTGCAAATAGTTACATAAGAAGCTTTCAATATCAGAACTCATTTCATCAATACGTCTTTCAACAGTATTGTTGCTTAAGGGAATTCTTTTAATGATATCAGATGCAGGTTTGTGTAAAACAGTTTTAAAAACCTCTTCAACGGCTGGCAAAATTAACTTCTCTCCGATAGTATGCGGTTTTCCGGATTTTGCTATAAGTAACGAGATATTGTAAGACGTCCGCAAATCATCATCATTTCTTTGTGACGTCGAAGCGAACATTCTGTCCAGTGTAGGTCTCTTCTGAAATTTATCTATGAGTATTTGAAAGTATTTCAAATCTTTCTCTGTTTTATCAGGGTGTCATTTTCTCAGATGATCTTGCAGTTTAGATGGCTTCATAGCGTCATTGCCCAAAACTTTGTTGCATAAAAGGCACATAGGCGATTGTTTATCCGGCAATGATGGAATGAAGCCAAATTTCAAATAATCAACACTGTACTGTCTACATTTCTTTTTAGATTCGGACATGGCATCAGTCATCTGTAGGCAAAATTAAATTATTTAAATAAGACAGAAAATCCAGCAGCTGTATATTAAAAATATTTTTTGATTTTTCCGAAAACATTCCATAATTCGAACATTTTCTTGCAACAATTAGCTCGAATTACGGATATTGCACTGTAATTATATTACCGATTGCTAAAACTTTCAAAAAGAAACTATTGAGGAGTACTCGTGTAATTTTGCATGATTGAATATTTAACTACTAATAACTAAAGTCATGATTGGCGTAATTTATCTATCTTTGCTAAGTACGAGTACAAAACTAAGATTTAATAAAAAATAATGTACTTACTTTTCTCCAGCACTCTCAAACAAAATAACACTGACTCACTATAATTTGTGTGATATACTATCTGTTTATGTTTAAAATATTTTCTTAGCACTTTCCTTTTCAAGATTCAGGAAACGAATAAACGTATTTGTCCCACATTCGTATTTATAGAGTGACGAATTGAACAGGTCAGTGCAAGGTAGCGAAGCTCTGAGACTGCGACTCTCAGGTTTTTACAAGTTCAAAATGTATTGCGACCACAAAGCGAATACCAACATCCTACAACTTACGCAATTTTATAAACATATATAATAAATTTTTTACTTCATAGTTACTTTTATAAATAATGTATATGTTTTGATATTATAAGATAGTATGATGTAAGTAAATAGGTACTATCAGTGTATGTGTTGAGATCCACTATCGTGGACCCCCATATTCATTTCATGGACCCCCAAATTTTTTTTTTCGCTGACGTAGACCCCTTGCAGGTTGTCATAGCCCCTAGGGGTCGATATAGACCACTTTGGGAATCAATGATCTAAACCGACCGTACTATACCGCTGTTGCGCCTGGGTGCCGGCATGCGGCGTGTCCTCCGTCACCGGAGATGAGCGCCGGGACCCCCGGACCCCGGACCCCCGGAGCGACGGAAAAAGACGGTTCTTCCTCCACTCTCGCCTCTTCGTCGTCTTTGGAGTTGGAGAGGAGGAACGGTCGGATTCGAAATAGCGTCAGTCAATTGTCGACCACCATGCCGGGCGTTGGTGTTTTGTTATTCGTCGTCGTAGGTGAGTCGCATGACAACGGAGTTTGGGAGTTGCATTGGTGGAAGGGGCCGCCCCAATGGAGTTGTGCTCAAGTATTGTGGAAATTGGTGGATGCTTTTACTTAACAGTGATATATTTGTGCTTAACATCAAGGACGTTGGGGTTTTTATACTTTTGGTGGAGTTCTTATCTTTTTCAAATAAACTGTTATGTCAGTAAACAATTATGCGTTGAAGCACTATTCATTTTTAAAATATAATACAGACTTTTCGTAACTAGATTTGAGTTGATGAAGTAAAATTTGCACGATTAAAAGGTGCTTCCAAATATCAAAAAATTCTGTTGCTACTTGATTTTTTTACTACGTGAAAAGGACAAAAGCTTGTAGGTATTTAAAAAATTAGTTAAATCCAAACATATTTTTATTGTGCAAGAAACTTATCCAAATCTTTTCTGTTTTTTGCCTATATCTCCCACGTAACTGTGCCCATTTTCAAAGATTGCCTGCAACGACATTTACAAAATAACCACTTTTCAAAATTCATAAAATTATTCAAAGTCGGTGAAGCTCTTTGTGATACTGAGTGCGAAGAAACTTTTCGCAATCATTTCGAGGGAAGTAATTATTAAATAATTTTCAGCTACAAGTAAAGATTTAAGGGATTTTTGCAACTTGAAAATTGAATCATGTTATATACTAAGTGACATATAAATCCGAACACCCAGTTTAAATGGTTTTATTTTAATAAAATTTTGTATAAGTACTTAATGAAGCATAATAAGTAAATGATAAAATTTTAAAATGATTGCACTGCTTTAAAGCCCTTTGACATTTAATAATGTGTGGATGCACCCTGATGTGCTACGCATTCTCCTACGCGCCTAGGCATGCTTCTGATCAGGTGGTCAATGTCCTCCTGTGGTATCTCATTCCAGGCAACCACCAACTCCTCTCGAAGTGCTTCTAGAGTCTGAGGAGGACGTTGCAAATTGAGCAATCTCCTACCCATCATATCCCACACGTGCTCAATTGGGGATAAGTCGGGAGATCTTGGTGGCCATGGTAACAATGTGACATCATTATGTTGAAAGAAGTCTATTGTGACTCTTGCAACATGTGGTCGGGCATTATCTTGTTGGAAAGTTGGATTTGCCAGGGTGTCAAGATAGGGTAAAAGATGGGGTTCTAGAACTTCGTGGATATAACGCTGCGCATTCGTGTTACCTCTGATGAAGATTAAAGGTGACCTGGAACCATAAGCTATAGCACCCCAAACCATAACTCCAACAGTGTGATGAACATGTCTTTCAACAAAAAACTGTGGATTCCTCCTTTCACCACGTCGCCTTCTAACCCTGGCACGATCATCGTGCATGCCTAAACAAAATCGAGACTCGTCACTAAAGACAATACTGTTCCATTCCTGATCCCAGAGTGACCGTTGTCTGCACCACTCAAGGCGATTACGTCGGTGTTCTCGAGTTAAAGGGAGGACCCAGTGTGGCCGGTATGAAAACAAGCCAAAACTTCTCATTCGTCGGTAAACACTTCGCATGCCAATAGGTCTTCCGTGTTCTGCAAACCATTCATTTGCAATGGACCTGGTAGTGGAGAAACGGTCCCTTAAGGCCAATAATCTTAGGCGGCGATCTTCACGGTCTGTTGTTCTACGGCGGCGTCCAGTGCCCCTTGCTCTTTGCGTACGGCCTTCTCGAAGCCATGCCTGACAACACCTAACCACAGTGTCTACACTTCTTTGCACTCTAACTGCAATTGCCCGAAAAGAAAGTCCAGCTTCCCGAAGTCCCACTATACGGCCTCTATCAAACTCACTAAGTTGACGAAATCGTACAGGTCTCCGTACCCTAAGCATCGTAACCGATCGTAAAGGACGTCAAGAACCAAAATCCGCCAACGTTGATTCTTTACTGCGGCCGAAATATTCATTTTTAGAGCGTTAGTGAATTAAAAAAAAGCAATATAAAAACCGGAATGTCCAACTGATAAGGCTGAAAATTTTTTCACTTGTTATTTACAGTAGGATAAATACATTCACCAACTTTTATTAAAATAAAACCATTTAAACTGGGTGTTCGGATTTATATGTCACTTAGTATATTTAGAAATACCTGAACCATAGAAAGGCAAAATTTAAGATTTTATGAAAATTATTGAGTCCCTGAATTTTTTTATAACTCTGAAACATAAAATGATGAGTTTTGGAAAAAGTTGAAGTATTCAATAATTTTGTTTTTTATATGACATGACCATGTTACTCGAATTACTGCTCGGATTTGGATGAAATTTTCACATAAGGCAACTATTATGTCAAAGACAAAAAACTCTGTAGATTTTGAAAAGCGGTCCAGTGGTGGTGGATGTTCGGGCAAAAAACTAAAAAAATAAAAATCATTCAATTTCCGTTTTTTGACATTTCAGAGGCTCCTGCTCACTTTAGGAAATTTTTTTTGTAGGGGGTGGAAATTGGGGGTTTGAGGTGTACATGTATCATTCGTCATATATTTCCCCGTACGATTTGTCTTGGAACGTGGAGAAATATCAAACGGGCCTACATTACACCCCGGTGCTCACAAAATGATATCTCCGACTAATTTATAAACTAAACACAGAGAGGGAAATGCAGAGTCAATCTACTGGACCTCATTTTTTTAAATACTTAAACTTAAAAACTGTATTTTATGCAATTTTGTAGTTTCATTTTTGTTAATATCTCTGTCGCTACGAATACGTTTTTTTTATTCTTTATGATCAAAAAAAGAAGGTTTGTGCAGATAAGTAGCAAATTTTTTGAATAAATCAACTCGTGAATACCAAAATAGTTATATAAAAAGAGGAGTTCCTCAAGGTTCAATTTTATCTCCTTTGCTATTTTCAATCTACATATCTGACATGGTCAAATCGGTAAAATTCGCAAAGGTAAAACAATATGCAGACGACTCACAAATATATCTCCCTTTAAATAAAACCACAATCCATATTGCACAACAACAGCTAAATTCAGATCTCCAAAGTATTGACAGATTTGCAAAGCATCACAATCTGAAACTAAACCCCTCAAAACCGCAAGTAATGGTTATGAATAAAAACAGTAATGGAAGAGAACATTTTGAACAAAATTTAGTAATTTCTATTAACAATGACAAAATCCTCATGGTTCAGGAGACAAAAAATCTAGGCATTATATTTGATAGCTCCTTTGGCTTCCGAAGTCATATAAAAAACAGAACAAATTAAAAAACATTTATCAGCCAAACAAAAATATTATTTGTGTAATACCTTAATTTTATCACTTTTTGACTATGGAGATGTCATCTATCGTGATTCGCTATCGTCGCGAACCAAAAAATGCATACAAAAAATCCTTTCATTTATGAACTAAACACAGCGTGGCAGATGCAGAGTCAATCTACTTGACCTCATTTTTTTAAATCAACATCAAAAACTATGTTTACTGTGGTTGCATTTTTGTTAATATCTCTGCCGCTACTATTACATTTTTTTATGATAAAAAGATAGGTTTGTGCAGATCAGTAGCAAATTTTTCGAATAAATCAACTCATCAATACCAAAAGAGTTTAGATTCCGGTTTACAAGGATTATTAAAGCTTCAAGGCCTTTGCAATTTGCACCACATTTACCAAAATATCGATCCATTGCACCAACGCCATAAGCGACTTTTTTCGCAAAAATCGTTCACCGGAATCGGCGCATATTTTTTTCATTTTTCACGCTCGCTAGTTTCTTAGACATATATCGGAAACGAATGATTGAAATCTAGGCATATATCTTTCCTAAAATTGATGAATGTAAAAGGATACGGCCTACCGTTATTGGCTAATCTCTAACAGTGCACGGGATGTTGAAACCGACAATCCTGCAGCAGTGTGAGGTCGTCTTTTTTCCGTTTCATGTTTCTGTTTTGATTGCGATTGCTTTTGTTTTTCAGCGCATGTTGTCGGAAAGAACGCGGCACTTTGGCTTACAATTCCAGAATCTTTTTGCTCATTTCAAAAACTGAGTCACTCAATTTAAATTTTTCAAGAGACCACCTAATTGAACCGCGCATATCAAGTCTGTAAATTAAGTGATGAGGCTGATTTTTTAATTTTTTTCATTCAAATATGATCATAAAAGCCACACAGCTTGAATCCGGCAACTTCCCAGAAAACTGGAAATTTGCTCATGTACAGCCTATCCCAAAAAAAGGATCTAAAACCGACCCTTACAACTACAGGCCTATAGCTCTGCTTTCTGTTATAAGTAAAGTGATGGAGAGGTGCATAAATCGCGAGCTTCTGGACTACCTCGAACGTCACAGCTTGATGAGCGACAGGCAGTACGGTTTCCGGCACCAACGATCCACAGGGGACCTCCTAGCTTACGTCACGCAACTGTGGAGTAAACTCATCCAGTCTCATGGTGAGGCTCATGTCGTTGCTCTTGACATCACGAAAGCGTTCGATGAGCTGTGGCACGCTGCCCTCTTAAGCAAACTTCCATCCTACGGCCTCCCAGAAAAGCTTTGCAGATGGGTGGCTGACTTTATCTCTGGCCGCAAAATATTCGTCGTAACTGACGGATTCTCCTCTTCATCCCACAACGTCAACGCGGGTGTTCCCCAGGGATCGGTCTTGGCTCCAACACTGTTTCTCTTACATATCAACGACCTCCTTTCCTGCACGATAAACCCAATCCACAGCTTCGCTGATGACAGCACTCTACATGCAGGAATTCAGAGTGACAAGCCGATCTCTGCCGCTGAGCTGGAAAAAAGAAGACTAGCGACGACTTCTTCTCTGACAAGAGACCTGGAGGCAATCACTGCTTGGGGACGCAACAATCTTGTACAGTTCAATGCTTCCAAAACACAGTACTGTACTTTGACGAACAAAAAGCGTCCTAGCGCTCATACAGTTTCGATGGACGGTCGAGTTCTACCAAGGAGCCATTCATTTCGGCTGGTCGGAGTCCAGATCGCCTAGGACCTGATCTGGCACGA